ACCTATCCGCCTGGAGGCCTTCGACGGCCGAGAGCCCGAGAAGGGCTATATCACCTATTTCGTATAAATGAATATAAGGGTAGAGAACCACTATAAGAAGAAGGCCCTATTCCTTATCACGAAAATCGCTTACTACCCTGTTATACTAGGCCTGCCTTGGCTTAAGATCCACGATCCTAGTATTCATTTCGCGAACCATACCCTCGAGCTAAATAGCCTGTACTGCCAGAAGTTCTGTAACACCCCTGGTAGGGCCCCGAAGATCCGAGCCCTACATGATGTCCCGAAGAAAACACGCCCTATAAACCTGCCTGATCGCCCCTCTGTCCTAGAAGGCCTAGATATATAGTCTATAAGCCTAAGGGCCTGCGCCGCGTACGCCCGAAGCGAGAAGGGCTATCATTTGTTCTCCGCGTCTATAGAGACACTGGACGAGATACTATAACCGAAACCTGACCCTGCCCTGCCTGACGAATTTAAAGACTTTGGAGATGTGTTCTCCCCTAAGGAAGCCGAACGACTGCCCCCACACCGACCTTACGACCATGATATTCGACTAATAGAGGGGAAGGCCCTGCCATTTGGGCCCCTCTATGCTATGTCCCGCCCTGAGCTAGAAGCTCTAAAGGAATAGATCTCCGAGAACCTAAGGAAAGGGTTTATCCGCCTAAGCTCCTCGCCTACTGCCTCGCCTGTCCTATTTGTGAAGAAACCTGGAGGGGGTCTCCGATTTTGTGTAGACTACCGAGCCCTTAACGCGATCTCGGTCAAGGACCGCTATCCCCTGCCCCTGACTAAAGAAACCCTGAACCAGTTAAAGGGGATGAAATACTTTACTCGCCTAGATATCATCTCTGCCTTTAATAACCTTTGGGTGAAGGAGGGGCAGGAGTACCTGATAGCGTTCTATACGAGATTAGGTCTCTACGAGAGCCTGGTAATGCCGTTTGGCCTAATAGGCGCCCCTACTATATTCCAGAGATTTATCAACGATTCCCTGCGAGATTACTTAGACCTGTTCTATACCGTATACCTTGACGATATACTGATATATAGTTGTACAAGGGAGGAATATATTGGACACGTCCGTAAGGTCCTCGCCCGCCTCCGCGAAGCAGGGCTATTCGTGAAACTAGCTAAATGCGAGTTCTGTGTTTCTGAGACCAAATTCCTAGGCCTGATTGTAGGAGGCGAAGGAATCTGTATGGACCCTAAGAAGGTCCGGACGATCATGGACTAGAAATCGCCGACGAACGCGACTGATGTCCGAGCATTCCTAGGATTTGCTGGCTTCTACCGACGCTTTATAAGAGACTTCTCGAAACTGACTACCTATATGAACGAACTCATAAAGAAGGATGTTGCCTTTGAATAGACTCCCGCCTACGAAGAAGCCTTTAAGACCCTAAAGACAGCCTTTATATCCGCCCCGATCCTGGCACCATTTGACTAGACTAAAGATATGATCCTAGAAACTAACGCGTCTGATTATGTATCTGCAGGCGTTATTTCCTAGTATAACGAAAAAGGAATACTATATCCTGTTGCATTCTTCTCTAAGAAGCACTTAGCAGCTGAGTGTAATTACGAAATCTATGATAAGGAACTTATGGCTATCGTACACTGTTTCGAAGAATGGCGCCCTGAACTTAAGGGCACAACCTCCCTGATTAAGGTTATCATAGACCACCGAAACCTAGAACACTTCATAAGCACTAAGTTACTAAACCGCCGACAAGCCCGCTGGTCTAAGTTCCTGTCCTGTTTCAATTTTACGATTATCTACCGCCTAGGTAAATAGGGCGCGAAGCCTGATATACTGACCAGGAGGTCAGAAGATCTACCTAAGGAAGGGGATGAACGACTAAAGCACCAGAGTTGTATAATCCTGAAGCGCGAAAACCTAGATAGCCAGATCCAAGGAGAACTAGGAATACTGACCCCGCCTGCCTTACCACCGCCTGACTCCCCTCTAACCCTGAAACTAGACGCCCTGATAGGCCTAGAACCTAACCCGCCTCTACCTGATATAGAAACAATAAGAAGTATACGCTTTGTAGACAAACTACAGCTAGAACTACCAGTCGCTGTGAAGGAAGCATACGAGTCTGCCCTATAAAGAGACCAGATATTATAGTTAATCCTAAGTGCCCTAGACGAAAAGAAAACCCAGCACCTAGATATCACGCTCGCGCACTACATGAGAGATAGGAACAACCTGCTATACCAAGGATGTATTTATGTCCTAGACAACGACGACCTTAAAGCTGAACTAGCCCGACTCTGCTATAACAACCCAGCAACAGGACACCCAGGTCGCATAAAGATGTACGAGCTTATATCTCGCGAGTACTACTGGCCGAACCTCTACCATTATGTCGAGCAATGGACCAAAAACTGTTATACCTGTCGCAGAATTACCCCGTCCCAAGAAGCCCGTTAAGGAGTCTTACGACCACTCCCGATCCCTGCCCGCGCCTGGCTAGATCTATCAATAGACTTTATCACACACCTGCCCGAGAGCCAAGGATTTAACGCAATCTTGGTAGTAGTCTGCCGCTTGACTAAAATAAAACACTTCCTGGCCTGCCACGGGACCTATAACGCTGAAGACCTCGCCTGCCTGTTCTTGAAACACGTCTGGAAGCTACATGGACTCCCTTGTATAATTATATCTGATAGAGGCCCCTAGTTTATAAGCCAGTTCTGGAAACACCTGACAACCCGCCTAAAGACTAAGAGCCTGCTATCCACTGCCTTTCACCCGGAAACAGATGGACAGACCAAGCGAGCCAATGCTATCCTGGAACAGTACCTCCGAGCCTATACAAACTACCTATAGGACGACTGGGCTAACTAGCTTCCGCTAGCCAAATTCGCCTCTAACTCTGTATAAAGCGAGTCGACTGGCGTCACCCCGTTCTTTGCTAATTACGGCCAACACCTAGTCGTTAGATTCGAGCCTGTCCGCCTAAGTAATCACCCCGCCGCCCGCGATGCAGAGAGGTTCGCGGCTCATATAGAGGAGATCACGAACTTTGTACGAGCCCAGATCCTGGCCGCCTAAGCTCGCCACGAAGAATTCGCTAACCATCACCGCCAGCCTGCCCGAACATTCACTAAAGGACAGAAAGTCTGGTTAGACGCCCGGAACATCAAGACCCATCGCCCCCAGAAGAAATTAGACTAGAAGAACTTAGGCCCCTTCGAAATCACCAAAGTTCTAAGCCTATACGCCTGCTGTTTATAGCTTCCCCCTGGAATGATGATCCACCTAGTATTTAACGTCTCCTTATTACGCCCTGCCGACGATAACCCGCTTCCCGCGCAGCAACAAGAACCTGCCCCACCTGTCGAAGTCGACGGAATCGACGAGTGGGAGGTAGAGGAGATCCTAGACTCCCGCTGGGAGAAACGTGGTCGCCGGGGAACACCACGTCTAAAATACGTGGTTAAGTAGACCGGTTACGATGACCCAACTGAAGAGCCTGCTGCTCACCTAGAAAATTATGGATAGTTAGTGAAGAACTTCCACCTCCGCTACCCGTCCAAGCCAGGTCCTGTCTACGCCTCTACGGAGCTCGGCTCTAAGGAGGGGGATACTGTCACGGTGCCAGCTCAGACGACTACTGATTGATTAGATAGTGCGGGCCACGTGACCCGCAACCTCATGTAAACTCAGAACCTTGTCTGAATGTAGCTCTTCAAGCTACGTCTTCGTCTTAGCCTGTCAGTCAATGCAATACTGTCTGTCCAGTTCTAGTATAATTCTATTCACCTGCCCGCCCCGTGACAATCAATGGGTTTGTGCCTGTCCTGCCTTCTTACTTAGTCGATTCTTATGCTGTAAGCATATTATCTACTGTTTTAAGACGCCACCCCCTCAATTCTTTAATACTGTTTCCCGCCATGATACTTGTCCTTTTTGGCGGGATGAGCGATTAGAACTTAAACCAGAGTTCAAACGCAGTGGTAAAGAGCCTACTCCACTACCAGATTATGAAAGCGATACCTCTTCAGCATCAGATAGTGAGGAAGAAATAGAGGAGGATGAGGAAGAGGAGGAGGATATTCAAGCTCAATTAATAGCTTGGCGCCAATTCCAATTTGATACTATATCAATGGTTGATGATCAAGGAGAAAGGTTTGCAAAGAAGTGGCTTCAGTATATCAAAGGCCAAAGGGCTCAAACCCAGAAGCTGATTAATGAAGCTAAAACTATTCGGAGCATGCGGACGATGCCCAAAACTTGGCGGAAGCACGATCATCCACTAGGGGTTTATTTACAGTAGTTAGAATCGGACTTAGAAGAATTGAACTTGATTTGAATTAGTAATGCTATTGAGATTAGTAAGGCTTGGCAAATATCACGTGTGCGACAGTTTTTCGGCTGCCCATTACGCACACTTTTGGGTATGGGTCCCATATGGGTATTTTTGATGCCTTAATGCCTGACTTTCGCCTCAACCTAAACTAAATTAGGGTAATTAGTGCCTTAGTGCCTAATTTTTGCCTCAATCTAGTACTAACTAGGTGACAAATATCACGTGAAATAAAAGTCTTGGCAAAAAGATGGGTTTATGGGCTGGGTGTGGGTTTTACTTCAAACCCATACCCAACCCATATGGGTTTTGGGTAAAATTTCTGACCCATACCCAGCCCATTGTGGGTTGGGTTGGGTTGGGTATGGGTTTACCCAACCCAATGAACATGTCTACATGAGTCTTCGCTCGAGTTACTCCACAACCAGATCCCTTTCTTCAATCTCGCTCATTCTGTCATATTGAGCGTGGCACGTATTACAAACCTCTCAAAGCCGTGGTTACGGAGGAGCTGCCATACAATATATTCTAGGATAAAGGTTTACTTTGCTGACATCTTGCTAGCAGATGGTAACTCGAAAAGTGACTTCATCGGATATACCGGGATATGCGGGGTGTAAAACATTGGTTTGGTAGTAATAAGGTCTCACTCGAATGAACATGATTAGGCGGACACAATCAAGGAGGCGGTGTTGGCAAAAACACCGACTCAGCACTTGGGGTCGGATCTCCCCCATTATATGGCAAAGATGGTGCAGCGTGTTCTTCTGCCCAGCTGACTATTTTTTCAAATTTGCGACATTTGTGTTGGGTACTAAAATCAGGGTAGATACCATACTCCTCTACCCAGTTGTGAGTAACGATTCCCACGTCACCAGTGCACATGAGATTTTGACGGAGAATGTCAATACAGTGATCAACATGCTTCCTGAGTGTTGATTCTGAATCAGTAAATTCCTCTGGTCTATTTTCAGGCAGATCATAATAGTCTCTGTAGGTATATTTCCTGATAAGGTCCTGTTTTTGTTGGTGTTACTATTAGATACTGAAAACTTTCGAACACAAAAAACTCACCAGACAATGTAGCTGATGGAATACTTCAATCCCACTCATGTATTTTCCTCCATATTCAGCTGGAAACTTGACGGAGATATCAGACTTGTTGATTCGTGGAAGGATTTCAGCATCAATCTGAGTTGAACCCACTAGAGCGATTTTAGTTGCTGCCTCAAGGAAACAAATGGCTAGTCTTCAACTTACTGTGCTTGATATATAACCATGCTTCGTCCAGGGCCTATTCTAGCCGCATATTAGTCAATGGTGTTATTCAAGTACACTAGGCTTTGGGTTATTTGTGACCTTATTTGGAGTGCCTTTATATACACTCTCATATTCTAACGCTCCTTGAAAAATCACAGTTTCATATTCAATGACTCCTGCCGTGGATTCAAGAAGGGGTGCTGTGTTTGGAATGTTCCATCAGTAAATTGCCGATTTCTTCAATAACAAAAACAATCACCTTACAATAGTTCGAGGTAAGAGCTGCACAATATTTTTCAGAGCAACCTTTAAACAGGGAGAATGTCATAACCCCAAGAGAGACCAGGAAGAGAGTGAAATTGGCAGCAATAACGATAATAATTCCTGATCTCTTCCAGACTGGCTTCAACGAAAATCGTGATTCCGGGAGAAGGGCCAGGCTGTCTAGTGTATCTTCATACTCATCAGATTCGGTCTGCAGGAGACTGTAGGGTTCTTTCATAGTTTCTTTTGATAGAGGCATGGGACCTTCCAGAGCTCGAGGCTTGAGCAGTAATGAAAAGTGTGTTGAGAAAATGTTCCTGGAGACCGAGGGGAAGAACACCAGGGTCAAGTTTCATACCTATGTAGGTCATATAGGGATGTATGAATCCCTCATATGCACATTGAAGCTAGTATCTAGAAGAAAAGCCTACCTTTCACTCCATAAGCTGCACTTCTGCCTACTCTTGGAAGGTACAACCGCCTCTGCATCATGTTACATCGGTACATGCAAAGTGATCGGATTTAGAGCCTAATTGAGAAAGTAAGGCTCTTATTGACGTACTGTAAGCAAAATTCGGGGTTCTGTTTTAGAGAAAATCAGAAATCAAAGTACGACCGCTTATTAAGTACCGCAATATGTCTATTATCAAGTGCAAAGGTTCCAAGCCCTGGAGACCTATTCTTATTCAAATTTTGTCACTCAGGTAACTATTTGCCCTCTTTAAAGTTTCCGAGCTGTAGTAGACACAAATAACATCAGTAAATTTTCTTTATTCATCTTCAAATCCTGTTTTAATATGTGAGGCGTCCAACAGAATCATTACCTCGGTAGTATGGAAAGGGTGATTTGGTGTCATTTCAGCTCGTTGAGCTACTGCACTGCGACGATATGCAGATATAGATCCTTCAGGGCAGAATAAGGCAGATTATGCACACATGACTCACCGGACATTACGCCACAATACACCCCCGCACAATACCTGTGTTGGTCACCGTAATTAGGGTAGCCGTTCAGCCGCTATACCTATCACCATACCTGCCGCCTTCGGTCCTAAATCGCTTTCCTGAGATTCTGAACAGATAGAACATGTACGCTAGAATAGATAGACTACGTACTTAGTCACCAGCTTAGCGCGTCCCCTATAGCCTAAGGGAGCTCACTAAGAGCAAAGGGCCTCGCCTTTGTTCCCCTTGACTAAAACCGAATTTAATGATGATAATTAATAACGAAGCAAACTATGTGTGTATTCGAAGATGGGAATTAATGCACTGTCCATGAATTATTGCTGATGAGGGGCTGCCACATAAGTACTCTTTCAAGGTTCCCGAGGTCTTCATTTCTAGCTAGTCCATCCAACAGGACTATTTATAAGATGTAGAACATGCCCCTAATACTAAGAGTATTATTTTTCAAGAAACTAAGCTTGTTGTTCTAGAGTACAGGCTGCATAGTTCATACCGATATATCAACCTCGTTGCCATGCACCTCTCAAAGATCTCCATTATCCTTCTGGGGCTTGCTTCTCACACTGTGCTTGGACTTGTGTAAGGGGTTTACAATTTTCAAAATATTGAAACCAGAGCTCTAATTCGCATCAGGGCACGAGACAACCAGTTTGATGCCCGTGCTATCGATGCACGCGACAGCAGCAAAGTCAAGTACGACCGATATGATGCCCATCCCGTCGATGCGCGCGACAGCAGCAAAGTCAAGTACGACCGATACGATGCCCATCCCGTCGATGCACGCGATAGCAGCTAAGTCAAGTATGACTGGTCCGACTCTGAAATTAGTGGATAGCTGCTAGCAGCCTTGGACCCAATAGCGAAGAATGGAAATTGATAGACAATATATATATCTAGATGCGTACGTGATGCAAGACTAATACTGCATGATGGTCACCTCTAGCATTACTTTTTGCCTTTCATATTATCTTTAGATGCTGTAATTTTCCAATTTCTAGCCCGCGAATGATTGAAGTATGTGAATTGGGAGTCATGGCTTGTCGTCCATCATGAAATAGATCCTTGGATACACGTGGAAGTGACAAAATTCCTCTTATCCATTTTATTATGTAGAGATCCAAGAGAGATAAGCCTGGGTTTTCGGAGTCCGAAGATGATCCATGCTTATGCCGTCAAACCATTCAAATAGCTACGATAGTCATAGTAAGAATTTTGTCGAATAAGCTTAGTGATTTAGCTCATTGCAAGGCTGTTGAAAGTCAGCGCAGTACTTCTGACCACTAGTCAAGACGACATCAAGACAAGTGAAGGCCATTTTAGCCGACCCGCTCGTACTTTTATTTCTCTATCAAACTGGTTGGAATCGAGCGAAGTTTTTTCGGAAATCTCAATATTAAGATAAAGAGCTTCTGAAAGGTTGAGTCAATGTCGAGTTGAATCTCTAAATTATTTTGAAAATCTGGTTTGGGATCTAGAGACTGAAACTTCCATATTTCTGCTTCTTTCATCAATAACAAGGAAGCTGGGTAAGATGGAGGAGGAAAACTCGATCCAGGCTCTTAAAAAGATCGCCGTCGGACTCCGGATAGCTCCTAGATTGTGACATCATATTCAAATTCATCTCTTCATCTCTTCATCTAGTGGTGACTTAGTCTGAATATAACCTTGTATGGATGCAAAGAGGGGTAATTTAGAAAGAAGCACTCAAAAGTCAACAAGGATCGAGACTTACATTCAGCTACACGTTAATGGATTACTTAAATCACTCAAATTCTTGCATCTCGCTCTGAGTAAAAGCTTTTATTTATTTCTCATAACTTGATGATATGAAGTTCCATCAATTTTCGGCTTCTTATACTCATACCATGGTGCCATCTGAAAAGCCGGGCTTTCAAGTAAGCCTTGTTCCCGCGACAGAGGACGGGGCTCGTACTATCTGGGATATTGAGATGGCTGCGCAGAATGACAGTAATAAGAAAAACAACAGCGCGATTGGAGCTTTACTCTGGCCAGCCCATCTCCAGCCTAAGGTTGAGGCCCCCAAGAAAGCATCGGATGGAGAAGACGACGAGATCCGCCGGATGATCCCAATGCTTAAAGATTCTAAGAACACCTACCTACTGGTAGTAGAAGAAGCCAGTGGTCAGGCTGTGGCATTTGCGTGGTGGAATCACTCTAAGGGCCAGACAGCAGCCGAGTGGGCTGAGGGGTATAAGAATCGATATCGCCCGCCGACCATGAATGGTGCTCTGATGGATGCGACGGGAGGAGAACGTTATCTGAAGCGAGCGAAGCTGCTTGCGGAGAAGGAGTTTATGCGTAAGTCACCTATTATGCCTACTTGTTATTGAACGTTATGACTAAAAATTTGAGCCTTTTAGAGCTGAAGGAATTATATGTTCTGCCAAATTATCAGCGCCAAGGGCTCGGAAGTATGCTCGTGGAATTTGGTGTTCATAAGGCAGACGAACTTAGCCTACCTGCTTACACGGAGGCATCCCCAGAAGGATTAGGATTGTATCTCAAGCACGGATTCCAAGAAGTTGATCGAGTGACAGTTGACTTAGAGCAATGGGGTGGCCCAGAGGGGGATTTCAATTCCTATGGTCTATTATATCGTGAGGCCGGCATGCCAGTGTCTGTTTAGCAACGAGTCAGTATAAGAGTCACGAAGAGCGGCTTGCTGGCTCATGGAGCTAGCATCATTTACAGCGAGCCAATTATTATGAAAGTCATATCGAACTGATTGCTCTATCTAACCCATGGGGGTTGCTGGGATGGACTTCATCCCATTTCACTATCCAATCAAAAGTATCGAAAAAGTGGGGGAGGTGACTCCTGGCCGTTATACTGGCCACTGATCTGTATTAGGGTATTAGGGTATTAGGGTATTAGGGTATTAGGGTATTAGGGTATTAGGGTATTAGGGTATTAGGGTATT